GACTTGGTAGTACAACTTTAGTACGCAGAGTAGCTGGGGAGTGGGAAAATGAGAACTGGTGAGTGGGTAGTACAAGTTGAATACGCGGAGTATCTGTGGAGCTGGAAGATGAGCGCTGGCGACTTTGTAGTACAACTGTAGTACGCGGAGTAGCTGGGGAGCTGGAAGATGAGAACTGGCGACTTGGTAGTACAACTTTGGTACGCGACGATGAGCTGGGCTGTCACCGCGTGGCCGCCGGTGGGGGGTTTGGGAGGCCTGCGCGCTAATTCGTTCAGTATATGTACAGAGAAGACCTTCACCAGCAGCAGACATGGACATACACAGACAGGGACTCACACACACACATCACACACAGAGACCCACGCACTGCCTCAACTTACTCGGACACACACAAGGACAGAGACTCATATACACACGGACATAGATACACACACAGAGACCCACACACTACCTCAACTCACTCGACTTAACACTTCACACTGCACACCTAACAGATAACTCGCACTCAGACTTCCTACGTGATGAAACTACTAGGAGGAAGGACGCACCAGGGGCTCCTGGCCTTACTACTAGTAACAAGAAGGAAGGGCCCGAAAGCATTTTTCATCACGTAGGACATCGAGATCGCCGAATCAACTCCACTCGGTGCGAATACGCGTCATGGAGTCTGCGTTCGGCGCGGTCGGGGCGAATCCGTTGCCCAAAGACTTGGGTCAGAATCGGTTGATGAATCCTGGATCCAGGAGACCCCCGTTTGACCCCCTGGAAGGACAATAGACCACGACCCATTGGTGGAGGGTTTCCATGAATAACGCAACTACACACCTATGTCGATTACCTAGATCCTGGCAGGACGCTACTAGGTGCTTTTGCCTCAAGCTACTAGCAGGAAACCTACGTAACAATTCACACCGCACACTTAACAGATAACTCGCACTCTGACTTCCTACGTGATGAAAAATGCTTTCGGGCCACTCGTCATCTAGTTTTTTTTTAAATAGATTATATTTTTAACAACTCATGCCTTAATAATGGACGGTTAAATCCTTCTAATGTATGATACTTTTGTCCTAATTTTGTTGCAATGTTTTCTACGGTATAATCACCTTGTAAAAAATGACTTGTTCTCTCTTTCTCTGTAATTGCTTTCTTCCTCATTATTTTTACCTTGTCTCCCACCTCTAATGTTGGATACATCTTTTCTTTCCTTGCTTTCACTGATACATTCAATTTTGCTTTAAACTCATTCTTCTCTTTCCTCGCTTCATTTGGTGTTAGTCCTGTTGCACTATGCACATCTCTATTATTATAAGTCAGCATTGTTTCTAATATGTAGTCCGTCCATTGTATATTCTGCTTTCCCTTCTTCTCATCATTTTCAACTCTTTTAAATAGTTTATCTTAAATGTCATAATAAATCTTTCAGCGAAGGCAGGATGTCCTCTTGCCCTGTATAATTCAATGCCTTCACCATCCACAGAAATCAGCACTTGCTATACCTCTTTCATCATCAGTATACAAAATTTTGCACATCTTTCCAATGTTTTGTAAGCCTTCCATAGTTCCAGCAATTATGTCAGGTGGGGTTTTACTCTTTATTGGCACTACCACAGCATATTTACTCAGAACATCTATCATTACTAAACCCGCTCTGATTTTTTGTGTTGCTTTAATGTCATCAGGTGATATAAAAACTATGTCAAGTTGGTAGGTATTATTAAGAGGTGCTACAAAACTGTTCTGACCTCTTTGTTTTTTCTTTATCTCAACATTTTCTAAGAAATTCTTCAACATCAGACATTTTTATTTCAGAATCTTTTTTTGGCATCTCTTAAAGTTGTTGCTTTACTTCCATAACCCGCTCTATCAAAATATACACGATTCAATATTTCTTGCTTTGAACTCAGTATATAAAATAATATAACTAGTTTTGAAAAAGTTTTTTCAAAATAATCAGTGAGCACTACAATTACAATACTTACAGTATGGAGTGCAATTATCCACAGAATGGCACAGTGTATTGTCTAGTCTTTGTGCTGTGAAGTTTGTTGAAAATTTGCCTTGCTTCATTTCAATATAAAACTCTATTCCACAGTGGGCACAACAACCATGGAAATGATTCTGACTTGATCAGGTTCCTAGATCGTTCAACCAGCTCTGCAAATCGAACAGCACACCTCCGCTAAGCTCACTGATAGCGGAAAACAGGACAGCGCACCTCCGCTAAGCCACTGATAGCGGCGCACGCTTGTTTTTCTATCTTGGGGCCCTGCTCTTGTGCAAAAAAGGCAGCTGACATAACTGCACATGTACTTCAACTCATGAGGAATGTTCTGCACTCCCCCTTTGCGCCACCGTCAGGTTCGCGCAACCACTTTCAAAACATTCGAGCCTTAGCTCAAACTGCCTGAGCTTTGAGATGGCACACACCGTGTGCAAGGTGTGTACCTCATGAGATTTGATCGGTCCAGGTCTTCACACGCTCTGTTGCTGTGGGCGGTTCCGCCCCAGCTATTGGTCCAAATGTTCCATGGCCCTCCAGGAGCATCGGACAAGCACTTTGAGCACCACTTGGACTTCAAGGCAGCTCCTGTTCGAGCAGCTCTGAGATAGTCGCAACTTCTGGTTCGATGGTACGCTTTTCCGTACCTTGTAGTGAGGACTTCTGGTCCCCTCTTCTCTTCATCATCACCCTGTGGTGTTTTTCTTTTGGTGCTTGGCTTCTTTCACCTTTCTTTCTCGCCATCGTCGAAGGTGTCACCGCATGTGACAAGGCGGCCGCCTTCGATCTTTCTTCTTCTTCTTTCAACTTTCTTTCTTCCTCTTCCTTTTTCTTTTTGACAGCCACTTGAGGATCTTCCAAACTGGTGGGAGTCGTCATCCAGCTTGAAAGATGTGTTTCATTCTCCAGCACATGTTGGTGTCCACCTGCGGCACCGGAAGCCGGTTGACTGGCACATCCACTCACTGGAATTGACGAGGTTCCACCTGGCAGCACAGGGATCGGAAGCAAGATCTGTGCTTGAGGCTCTGTCGACTGAGTTGGAGAGTGGAGGAAAAGGTGAGCAGAGACGAAAGGCACTGGAGACTGAGTTGGAGTGGGCAATCCGGCTGGTCTTGGCACCTCCGGTACATATTCATCACTTTCATCTTCATTTCTTGATCTCATCCTCATACCTCTTTTTGGTGGTGTCCAGGGAGGACTTCCCACAGGACGTACACGTTCGCTTGACGAACGACGATCTCTCTGTGGTACTCCCTCCTTCAGGCACATCCACAAGAGGGTTGTGATCAAGATCACCAAAACTGTATAGATCATCAGTGCCAGCTTCACATGCCACATACCAGTGTCTTCTTCGTCATTCTCATCTCCCTTCACAGTCGTCATGGTCGCTGCCATCGTGATCAGCCGTATCACTGCAGCAATCTTCGTGACTTCATTCATCTTCATCTCTTTCGGACCTTGGTTCT